CTCTTGCTGACCATACACTCTTCAGCCCCTAAAATATATGATACAAAAATAAATATATATATTTAGTAACCGTTAGTTTCAAGTACCTTGGGTCGGTTATACAGGGGGATGGGAAGATTGACGAGGATGTCACACATTATAGGAGTTGGGTGGATGAAGTGGAGGTTAGCGTCTGGAGTCCTGTGTGACAAGAAAGTGCCACTGATTCTCAAAGGTAAATTTTATAGAGCGGTGGTTAGACCGAACATGTTGTATGGGGCTGAGTGCTGGCCAGTTAAGAACTCACATATTCAGAAGATGAAAGCAGCTGAAATGAGGATGTTGAGGTGGATGTGCGGGCACACTAAGATGGATAAGATTAGGAATGAAGATATTCGGGAAAAAGTGGGTGTGGCCCCATGGATGACAAGCTGCGGGAAGCCAGTGGTTAATGTTGAGTTCACACTACGCTTTCATTCCTCTTAGTGCTGGACTTTATCTACTGGTTATTGTTTTGCTTTTCTATCTATTTTCTGTTTCTGGTGTTGTTGTTCTTTGTTCTATGGTTTCTATTGATGGTACTGATATATTGCCTCTTTTCGTCTTCTTTTCGTCTTCTTGAGCCGAGGGTCTTTCAGAAACAGCCTCTCTACCCCCTCAGGGTAGCGGTAAGGTCTGTGTACACACTACCCTCCCCAGACCCCACTAGTGGGATTTCACTGGGTCGTTGTTATTGTTGTTGTTGTATCTAGCAATTGTTAACTCTTTCAATAGTACCCCATTATATCGAATGTAATTTAACATTACACATTATTTCAATAGATTGAACAGAGTCATTCTAAAAGTAGTAAGTTTAATTGAAAAAAGTAAATTTCACAATAAGATACTACCGTACCAAAGTAACCCCTTCTTTTGACAGTTCCTCAAGGCCCTCTCGATCAAAAACCTTTCCATCAAGTGGTGACTCATCTATCTGTCAAATACAAAATACTCATAATCCTAGGACAAAGATTATAAATCTAAATAGTTTCAGATAACTTATAAGAAGGATGCAGAATGCAATACCTTCCAGTCACCTGTATGGAGGATGGTACCGTCGGAACAACGTAGAACTATCCCACTACAATCTGGAATAGAATGAGTAACCGTTATAGGTTCTACCTCAAACGGCCCAGCAGTAAATTTCCTTCTTGTTTTAAATACCTTAAGCCTAGATGGAACAAATATCCCAAATTCTTTCAGTCGCTTCTTAATCAGCTGCTTGCAAGAAAAACAGATACTTAGTTCAACAGATATTGATATGTAACACTGTTGAAAAGTTTAAAGCAAAAGGAACATGATGCTCTAAGAAATAAGTATCCAATGGTAGGTATTGGTGTCTCAAATCATGTATTACATGGGTATCGGATCATACTCCAACAAAATTAAAAAAACCTTGCTGCCAGTTTGATACTTTTAGTAACCACTTGACCTTGTTTCCTAATAGCAAAAATGAAGAGAACAAGGCACCCACACTAATAGAAAGGAGAAAAGAAAAAGCAGAAAAGAGAAAAGAGAAAAAAAAATTCCAAATGGAGATAGGAAGGCTGAAGAAAGAAAGAAACAGAGCAACAGGTAGAGAAAGAGATAGAGAGATCAAGGATAATGAATAGAATAGATGAGAGAAGGCAGTTTCACTTTTTCCTATTTGATGAAGATAACAATGAAAAGACAGAAGGTGCAAGATTGAGGAGAAGAAAATCAAGTAATTTCAGATTCTCCTTGCTTGGTAGGAGATACAAGAAGAAAGACTTACGTTCCATTACTGGATCTAAAGGATAAACAGACTTAGTATGATTTCACCTATTTGGTTCTCAAGGACAGAATTTCAACTTTGACTTAAGATGTCTCCTTTCCTTATCTTGAATAAGGCTGACTTATGTTTTATGGCTTTAGGCTTCAAATTACCACATATCCCTAGTGAACACAGGAAATGCTGTATAATTAAAAGCAATCAAAGAACTCATAGGATCGTAACGAACCTCCATTGTGAACGATGATGCGAAAATTGGCGTGTGAGAATCCAGAGCAGGAATTACCTGTTTGGATAACACTGTTAATGCAAAACAAATTGTGCAAAAAGCATGCAAGCATATTTGTTTAATTCAAAAAGCATGCAAGCATATTTGAATATTAAACAAGAGGAACTGGAGTGCCCAGAAATATATTTCGTGCATCAGCAAAAGCTAATTCCAATAAAGGGGAGACAATCAATAAAGGGGCACGGGGCAATAAAGTTAAAGATGCAATTATTTACTAAACCTATCAAAGAAAGGGCCTTCTTAGAAGCACAAGAACTCTAGGTAGCAGGAAAAATTTTATGAGACAGACTAGTCACTTAGAAATATTAGAAGTATGATCTCTTTAACTTAGATCTAGCGGGTGAGTTCATTGTCCCTCATATTAGAGAATGATCTGCTTTGTACTTGGATTCCCAATTATCCACTGACACATCTACGCAAATATATCCAGTCCACCAGTACATATAAGAAAATGAATAGCTTAGAATAGAAACTTTACCCATGGCAACGCACCAATGTGGTCTTCATGTCCATGGGTTATAACAACAGCTTCAATTTTGTGGCTCCATTTCTTTATGAATGTTGTATCAGGAATAATCTTCTGGACACCAAGATCTTCATAGCTGAGTTGGACATCCAACAAGATCCCAAGTCAGTCCATGACAAAGAAATAAGGATAAGGTAACTAAAATTCAAAGTTGAAAGCAGCTAGCCCCATTTAAGGAAATAAATTCTTTGAACGGCTTATCCTCGTAGGAACTATTAACTTAAACATAAACGTATAGAGGATCTTTCAGTAGGAAATGATGACGGATCCTCTGGACCTCCACCATCAGATTAATGACTAAAGCAGAAAGTGCAATCAAAGAAGACCCATTAAAGGATGATTCCACATAATTTTCTACACAGCAATATCAAAATAGATTGTAAAAATGTTGCATGAAAGACCACTTTGTAACACCTACCCTGGGAACATTATTCCAGCATCAATGAGAATATAACGATCATAATTTCCAACAAGCATGCAATTCATCCCAATTTCTCCCAGACCACCAATAGGAAGAACACGTAAAGGTGGGCCGTCAGCCCCTTCATAGAAGTGCTCCATCCTTCGTTGGACAGAATCGTCAATGCTTCTTCCAGCGCCCTCAGTTTTTGCAGGTCTTCTACGCGGACCTTTTGATCCACGCACACCTGAAAGGACATCAAATTCCAACCATAAATAGAATAAATATTTTTTAACGAAGTTCTGCTCAACAACACCTTATCAAAAGAAGCGAAGTTTTGCTAATTGGATTTACATCAATGCTGGTCATATGTAAGAGCACAATGCAAGAAAAGGTACAACATCAATATTTGTTTGTAACTGTAATGAGAACATATGTCCAACTATAGCTGTAAATGACTAGAGAATATTCTGTGAAAAATAAATAAATTGTCTCCTTTGTCTTGACAACAAAAACGAATAATTTAAACTCAAATGATAAGAACTGCAACCAGTAATTGGAACCAATTTCTTTCAAACACTCAAAAAAATCTTATCGCAGGACTTTACTCTAGTATTTTCAACTCAGAAATAAACCAAAAAAGGGGGAGGAGGCAATGCAAGAAAGCCACGTACCTATAGTAGAAGAGGAAGGAGTATAGCAAGAAATGTAACGCTTGCTAGGGTTTAATTGATGGCATAGTTTGTACGGACATAGTGAAATAGCGCTGAAAGCCGCCATGTGAACGAATAATTCTACTTCGTAACTATTAGAGTAACTGCCGAGTAAACATATAAATGGCTGCTTAGCTGACAGAGAAATCTATGAAGGAATTCAAGAGCTTATTTCTCTGCAACTGCTAGAGGTTTAAGGGGGTAGCGGGAAATGGAGAGATAAAGGGGGAAGAAGAGGATTTTGTTTGCTGAAACTCAAAGAATAGAATATGACCGTAAAAATATCTTTCTTATCGTTTCGGCCTCTCGTATTCGCATTCACTCTCTGGGAAAAAGATTAGAGGGATGATGGAATGCACGTGCCTACGCAATAGTACCATGGTACTTTATTTACTTGAGAGGAAAAAAATTAAAAAACAAGTAAATGCATATGTAATTAATTATTGTTTGTCTATCCAAGAGATCTTTGGTTTTTAGTTCCACCAAGTTTTATCAAGTTACATGACTTCTTCGAGGAAATGTAAATTAAACACAAGAAATCTTTGTAAAGTAGTTTTCTTCTGTACAATTTGTAACAGGTGAAGATCATTCCGGGATCGTTTGATACGCGGACTAAATTTTTCCGGATTTATAATCCTGGGATTATAATCCCTGGACTAATTTATAGTACCTGTGAGGTGGGATAATATAATCCCAAGTTTGATGGATAAGGAGTTTGATGGGATAAGGTGAGATAAGGTAGGATATCATGCACTCCGTTCGGTCCACAATAAGTGATCATTTTACCTTTGGCACACCTATTAAGAAAATACGAACTCATAGAGGAAAAAAAAGTGTATTCACTAAATTAACCTTAATTAATTGTTACCTTGGAATATGTAAATAAGGGCAAATTATGGAAAAATAAATTAATTCCTTCTTGATTATGTAAATGGACATTTATTTGGACCAAAATAAATCAGTAAATTGATCACTTATTGTGGATCGGAGGAAGTATTAAGACTGAGATTAAATGTATGTCATGTTAAATTTATACTATCAACCAAACATGATATAGATTTAGTCCCACATATTATCCCACCTTATCCCGCGTACCAAACGACTTCATTAACAACTAATGAATTCTTATCTCCAAAAAAAACCAATAACATCACATTCTGTTAAATTACAATACTGCAACAATAACATACCAAAGTAAGGTCCACAAAAGGTTGGATATTGGCAGACCTTGCCCATATTCTTGTGTGAGATAAAGACTGAATTGCAATACCCAGATACCAATTATCCAACTTCAAAATAAGTAAAAGAAGCATAGTAGAATTTTCATCTCTTTTTTTTTCGTTCCGCTTAACAGTAGTATTAAAATTGGAATATCCAGTAACCTTCTACCAATTACAATAAGATGGAGTACAATTTGGTTCAGTAAAAGAACTTTTGGTTACAAAAGAAAAAGCATTTGCGTGCCTAGAAAAACTTCTCTTGATAGTGAGCTTGTTATGGTCAATTTCCTATTTCAGATACATCTAAAAAAACACCATAAAGCCAAGAATGGCCAAACTACAAAATGCTGAAATGCTGTGAATTGTACTCCATCCATTACAACCAAAGCATTCATGAGGGTGACATTATTATGACGAGAACAGAGAGTAACCATTTGCTCGCAGGAGTTCCGCGTTATCCTTCTCCTCTTAGGATGCAGTTGACTAACCCCTAACACATACAAGCCCTAATGAATAACACTCTTTTGCCATCAGCAGAAGAATACTCTTGAGCAGATTATTAGTAAGCTGCTGTAAGATCCCCTAGTTTCTGTAGGACATCCTTTTGTCCTAAATGGCTTGACAAGACCTATTTGCTTGCAGAATGGTCAGTACCAGAAGCGTGCTTGCGGTTCAGGTAGCGGATGACAGCATCTTCAGTCCTGTATGGTGCACATAAAGTAGGTTAGATGATCTGAAAAGTTTGTAAGGTACACCGAATGTAGGTTAACTTAGACAGATCAATCAGAAAGGTTCAATGCTCAACAAAAGCATATACTATCATAATGATGGATAAATGGAAATCATGTTTTAGCCCGCTGCATTCTGATTACAAAACCCTCCCTAGGTTAGATCAAAGATGTTCACAGCAACAAAGTACCATGATAACCATCTATTTTTCCTTTTGAAAGATAGAGTATTGAACACAGAGAAGTTTATACACAACTAGCATGAATTATGATATTTAGGCAAGAAGTTTACCAAGACTGATTGTAGAATTCAGAACGCCGCTCCATTTCTGCATCACGGCCAGAATCTCCAGAAACAAGCTTAAGATCTCTGGCTTGAGATGCAACTAATGCATTAATAAAATCAGCAGGTGACTGACTAAATCCAAGAAAAAAAGCTCGCCTTCTTTGATGTTCATGGATTTTCTTTATAGCAGTAGAAATAGCTTCATCACATGCATCAATCTCCTTGTTATTCTCTAAATTAGATAAGAAAGTGGACATTTCCTTCTGCAATGTGAAGGGAACATCAACAAGTACATCATAACAAGTGTTACCAGCTGGGCTACTTCCAGATAGCTTAATCCTGTGCTCCAAATGAGTAGGTTGAGGGGCAGTCAGATGCGGATTAATCTTTTGGGAAACCAGGGAAAATTTCAACTTTTCTTCTCCAAAAACCTTCCTGAGAGGCGGATCACAAGTGAACGAGGAGGTGTCATCGGATATCTGTAGCTTCCTACTTTTTACATAGTACCAGAGAGCAGCTAAAACTCTCGCTCGTGTCTCAACCTCAATACCAAGAACCTCTTGCAAAGCTGGCGAAAGTTTAAATTTCTCAGGCATATAATTCATTTCCAGTCTGATGATTGCTGTAAAATCCTTATCCCCTTTCCTCTTAATCTCAAAACCATCATGATGCACTGGTGCTCGAGAGCTATCCCACAAGATTACATGGTGATCAGGATAGAGACTCTGATCCAAGTAAACAGTAATTTTCTTAAAGAAAGATGAAAACTTGGGGTAAGAAACACCCGATTTCTGCTCCATTTCAGATGCAGGACGATCTGGCCCACCCCCCAAGATCCTCCCGAAAATCTTAATAGACCAAGAAGGTGGCTCAGTAGTTTTGCTCTCGGAATCAGCTGGTGGTGTCTGATTTGCGAAAGTGTTGAATACATAGATCCTGAGGGTCTTTTGGACATGCGGAGGACCCTTAAGGGATTCCAACATGTCAATCTTCTTTCTATAAAGAGCAGCATCTACACGAGCCTCGAGTTCAAGCAACTGAGAGTAAAGCACAGATTCGGGCAAATTCGCAGCCACTTTATCAGGTATACACTTATCAGAAACTTTACGCTTTTTTCTACGCACAGCAGGGGTTAATTCCATAGTCTTTAAAGGTGAAGCAGTTGCTTGGCCATGACCAGAGGAACCACCAGCACGAGAAGTCGGTCTCTGGAGCACTTTTCTAGTACCCCCAGTAGTATTGGGTGTGGAAGTAGCAGGGGATGAGACATTGGTGTTAACCCCTGAAGTGATAAAATGGCTAAAGGCCTGAGCTTGGCCTTGGAATTGAGCATGAGAACGTTGAGATTGTGGTTCGGATAATTGAAAATGGCCAGGGAACTGTGACGCACGTTGTGCGTGTGACTGAGAGAAAAGATGTGCTGCTGGTTGATTATGGTTCATGGGCATAGATTGAGGTATTTGCATTGGCCCTGAATTTCCTAAACCAACATTCCTAACTGTGTTGTTATTATTCATAGGAAAATTCTAATTAAGAAAAGCTACAAAGCAGAATGTGAAATCCTATACTCGTCTTCAAAATTAGGGTTCCTTTTTCAAGTTTAACAACAAAAAAAAAACTTTTTGAACAACTATAGCTAACACAAAAGGAAGAAAGGAACCTGAAAAGGATTTCACCGGAAAAAGAGTGAGGTTGCCGGCGAAAGAGACGGAAAGGAACGAGTTCGCCGCCGAGGGAGAGTGATAACCGGCGGTCGTTCAAATGCTTTGGCCCAAGTGCAGCTCGACTAGTTTTTCCAAGAAGCTATTGGAAATTGGCAGGCCCATATCTATTAACTAACATTTGAGTTGACGGAAATTTACGCATGTGTTGGGGGCCCAACAGAACCCAATAATTCCTTTTAAAGGTTTACATTTTTAATAATGAAAGAATCATAATATCTAAATAGAATTATATATTGTGAATTATATGTGAAGATTAAACAGTGACAGGGACGTCTAATTGTGTACCTGTTGACAGTAGCGGAAGTCTTGCAGAACCTGCTTTGATCAATTGCTCAAGTTCGATTTCGTCTCTCTTGGAAACGTAATACTCTTCACAAACTAAGTGTCCTCTATGTATTTCTTGTGAGAAAAAGGAGATTAGTTCTCTGTATTTTTCTTCTTCTTCCGGTGTCTCTCTGAAGAGTACGTATGTTCCCTTTTATTTAGGGTTAAGGAAAAAAGCAGTTCTTGAAGAAAAAATTGTTTCCTCCAAAAAGAAAAAAAAAATAACCGTGTAGAATATGCTGCCACAAAACTAAACGTGTGAAATAACTTATCATAAGAGGTTATTTATTCTTATCTATTCATAAATTGGTCGGGTCAGCCCACATGGAGCGACCCGCGACCCAAATAGAAAATAAATCCCCACTTCGCTCATGGTGGGATGTACCCAAACCAATATCATGCCAATAACACATGTTATTCATACGGACAAATAGTTCGTGCGACCTGCGAGCATCAAGAGCTGTAAAAAAAAATTCAGACTCATTAAGGTTATTCTAAAGCTTTATGTAGAAATTCGATCACATTCGGAAAGGAAAGGATTCACTACTAACATGAGGATCTTATTACTCGCTATACCCCAGACATTACTCGCCATTCCAGTAGCTAGTTATCCGATCCCTCATCCTCGAAAGAGGTGAACTCGAGTTCATATTTAACTTTGTATTCATAATTACATATGATACCCTCATGGTAAGTGTAATGATCGACCTATGAATACAAGTTAAATTACTAGATTTTTTAGTTGTCTTCCCTTTCTACTCGAATCTTTCCATTCCAAATCAACTGCTTTCCTAGACATGCACTGCACTACCGAATCACTCATGGCTATTAGTGACATGCTAAAATAGCAACACTGATTGGCACTTTAAGATACAGGAAAAGGTCAAAGGGTATTCTAATAAAAATTAATATAACTTCTCTGGGATCTCACACAATGAAGAAGCAGGGATTCATTGTTCCACTATCCCATGGTCGATAGCACATGTGGTATGAAACACATGTTACGGTGTTCTCACCTTATATTGGCGTGTGTGCCTAATTCTTTTAATCATTCAACACCGTACAGATCTTGGTCTAGACACCTCCAAATGTCTAACCCGAGTTTCTCACTTCAATAATCCCCAAACCATCTTCTTAGAGAAACTTCTATCTGGCTTACAAAACAAGTCATAATCGAATAGTAAAATTCGTAAGTCTGATTAGTTGTCAAGACCAACCTCTACAAGTAAATATAACCTCACATTATCCAAGGTTTCATAAGGTCTCATCTCTTCACGATTCTTAACGTAAGAGGTGATTGCTCGTGTGAGAGAGTCAATCTCACGACTTGTTGGACACACTCTCTCAATAAAACATTCATCACATACATACGAGATATAAGCATAATTCAAGAGTCAAATATTCATGATCATATTATAATACTTAAGTCAGTTTACAATATATACATATGTTCATATCCTTCGCAAACTTAGAGCCGTAACATGTTTCTCAAACAGGTCTCTAGATATCGCCTTTGTAAAAGGATCAACTATCATGCTTCGCGTAGGAATGCACTGTAAATTTATCTCTCTATTTGCTACCATGTCTCTTACAAAGTTATACTTGATGCCAATGTGTTTGGTCTTGATGTGATACTTTGGATCTTTTGTATATGCAATAGCCGTTTGACTATCACAGTATAGAGTCATGTCACCCTGAGAGTTCTTTGTAATATCCAAATGCTCAAAGAATCTCTTCAACCAAACAGCTTCTTGTACTGCAGACGCACAAGCCACGAACTCAGCTTCCATTATTGAAAGGGTTGTACGGGTTTGTTTCTTACCTTTCCATGATATAGCACCACCATTAAGTAAGAAGGCATAACCGGATGTTGATTTTCTATCATTCCGATCACCAGCCCAATCAATATCTGTATATCCTCTCAAGTATAAATCATTTCCACTATAATCTCTTCCAGGATTGGATTGATACCTGCTAACCAGACCTATAGCATAACAAATGTCTGAGCGAGTACACATCATAGCGTATATCAAATTCCCGAAAGCACTTGAATATGGAACTCGAGATATTTCTTCCTTTTCATTTTCAGTCTTGGGACACATTTCAAGGCTTAAAGTTTCACCTCTCGCTATAGGAGTATCCATGGATTTGCAACCATTCATGCGAAAACGCTCCAAAATTTTCTTTATATAAGTTTCTTGAGAGAGACTCAATAACTTTTTGGAACGGTCTCTTTGGATCTTAACTCCAAGGATATAGTCTACCTCGCCCATATCTTTCATGTCAAATGACTTTGAAAGCCATGACTTGATAGTTTTCAAATACTCCAAATTGTTTCCTGCCAATAAAATATTGTCCACATAAAGAGAAAGAATTACAAACATCCCATTGGACTTCTTCACATAAATGCAATGGTCTTCATTGATCATGGTGAAATCATATGAGATCACCTCCTTGTGAAATCTCAAATACCATTGCCTTGAAGATTGCTTCAGGCCGTAAATAGATCTTTTCAATTTACAGACCTTCTTTTATTTGCCTTTAACGATGAAGCCTACAGGTTGTTCCATGTAGATTTCTTCGTTTAGTTCTCCATTGAGAAAAGCTGTCTTCACGTCCATTTGATGTAATTCTAAATCCAAACGTGCAACAATAGCCAAAAGTAAGCGAATTGAGGTAAACTTCACAACTGGTGAAAATGTTTCCTCGTAATCTATTCCAGCTTCTTGAGTAGAGCCTTTTGCCACTAATCGTGCCTTGTATCTTTCTATTGACCCATCCGCTTTGCGTTTAAATTTGAGAACCCATTTGTTCCCAATGGCTCTACGCCCAGGCGGGAGGTCAACAAGACCCAGACTTTGTTGGTTTTCATGGACTCCGATTCTTCTTTCATTGCTTTCATCCACTCATCTTTTCCAGGGCTCGATAAAGCCTCAGTCACAGACTTTGGCTCATCCATTTATGTGGGAGATACCAAGAAAACATAATCTTCAATGTCATAAGTACGTTTGGGTATATTTTTCCTGGCATTCTTTCGTAGTTGAAATTCAGGTTCGTCAGGAGGATTTTAGGATTGAGAGTTCCCACTCCCACCCGGATCAAGAATAAGATCTTGATCAATTTGATTATCAACTGTGTCAGAAGACACTTGCTGACTATCTGAGTTCAATATTTCATAAAGAGGCTCTCCATTCTTTACCTCGCCCTTCTTTGGAAAATCATTTTCCAGAAATGTGACATCTCGTGATTCAATCTCAGTAACACTTCCATCTTCTAATTCACCAATGAACACATACCCTTTGGGGTGTTCTGAATATCTTATAAAGATACATTTTTTTTTCCTTTTGGACCTAATTTACCAAACTTGCTAAAGGATTCTTTTACATATGCAGCACGACCCCAAGGTCGTAAATCCTTTAAGTTCGGTTTGTGACCAGTCCATAGCTCATAAGGAGTGGAAGAAACTGATTTAGAAGGCACTTTGTTCAATATGTAAGTTGCAGTCAATAACGCATCTCCCCAAAGGGAGATAGGTAAATTTGCCTGCGCCATCATGGACCTTATCATGTCCAATAATGTTCTATTCCTCCTTTCTGCTACACCATTTTGTTGAGGTGTGTACGAAATAGCTAACTGTCCGGTGATTCCCTTTTCATTGCACAATTCTCAAATTCTTTTGAAAGATATTCACGCCCTCTATCGGTTCTTAAGGTCTTAATCCTTTTGGCTAATTGATTCTCAACTTCATTCACATATTTCTTAAAGTATTCAAGTGCTTCAGATTTATGAGAGATCAAATAGACATAACCAAAGCGTGTGAAATCATCAATGAACGTAATAAAATATAAAGCACAAGACCTAGACCTCACATTCATTGGACCACAGATATTAGAATGGATTAATTGCAATGGAAAATCAGCTCTCTTAGCCTTTCTAAATGGTTTACGTGTAATCTTTCCGGCAAGACAATTTTCACAAGTTGGCATTTCAATTTAGAGAAAGGGCCTAGATGTCCTTCCTTAGCCAATCTATTCATTCGATCCTGCCCTATGTGACCTAATCTTGCATGCCATGTAATAACATCAACATCATTGTTACTAGAATAACATGCCATAACACAACGGTCAACATAATAGTTATACGTAGAAGGATTACAATCTAACACAATAAAACCATCATAACGATGTCCAAAACCATAAAAAAACATTGTCTTGAGTAATTCTAAGACCACTGCGACTAAAGTTCAAATTGAAATCTAAATCTAGAAGAACAGACACAGATACTAAGTTTCGTCGAATCTCTGGAACATATAGGACGTCATGCAACATCAAAGATCGGCCACCTCGCATGTCCATTCTGCAAGTGCCTATCCCTTTGACTTCAAGCTTTGCATTATTTCCCACATATACATGCTTTGATCCAGGTGGAACTCGACGAAACTCTATAAATGCTTCTCTATCGCGGCTCACATGGTCGGTGGCCCCTGAGTCTACAATCCACACAGGATAAGATTCAGCTAGTAAAACAATGCCAGAAACATATATAGCACTAAGAGATGCATTTTGAAATGCTACCTTTTTCGGCTCAGTGCACTCACGAGCAAAATGCCCTGGAACTTGGCAATTGTAACACTTCATCTTGATCTTGTCTTTCTTCTTGTAGAACCGTTTTCCTTTCTTGGAATTTGGCTTGTTTCTTTTCTTGGAGGGTCCTTCTCCGGTCTCCTTACCCTTTCCGTCATTTTTTTAGTTTCTCTTGCGCTTGAAGCT